AGCCACCTCCTGCTGCTTTGGGGCTGGGATTCAGCTGATCAGACTCAGTGTATTTAGGCTTCTTTATAGCTTCTTTACTGTGGATGAGTTTATTGGTTGAACACAGGCAAGTTCAAGCAATTTCACAGAACTAACAGCTGACAAATTTTAATCTGTAGAGCTGGCTATTTTTACTGGCAGTGCAAGTCTACATGCTATGTTTACCTCACCAGGGAAAAAAACCAATATTCTGTCACCTAAAAGTTAACAGAACCAGCCAGTGAAGGAATCAATTTATAATAATGATTAATAACAAAGCACTGTAGGCAATGGAGCTACAGACTAAAACTAATTTGTGGAAATTACTCAGCAAGTGATTATGACTAATGTGATTTGCCTTTGGGCAATTCATAAAAAAAAAAAAAGTTAAATGTGTGGAATGAAACATTCATTATCCATTATTCCCTCAGTACAGGCAATGGCATTCATACTGTAGCAGAGCCTATACACTTCAAGCAGATTTCAGGGGTTTACTGCACTAAGAATTATATGGATTCTTTTTTCTTTCCTTGAAAAAAAGAAGGGGCAAATATCCCTCCTAAGGAGCTCCAGATGCTAAGTTTAAAAAGTCCTGAGGGATTACACCTAGTGTAAAAGTGTGTGAGTTAACCTTGCAGCTTAAGTATTGGTAGAAGAGCAGTCCTGTTTGACATCAAGAGGTTTCCTCAGAAATAAAACACCCCTGAGTAGTCACTCAACCTCTTAGATGAATTTTCTTACTTATGCTGTATCTAGACTGCCACTGCTGCCGAAGCTGATCACTGTGGGCATATTCTAAGATACTTCTTATACATCAAGACATACAGAAGGTGATCCTTCAAGGATGTCTCAGTGTAGGTTTCTGTAAGTGCACATTCAGGAAAGCATTCCCTTTATGTTGGATACCCTTCCCAAAAGGGACAGACCTTGCAGCTTGCTGACCTCTACAGCATTGGCTTCAGCATGGCAAAAGGCAGAGCTCTCACCACTTCTTTCCCCACTGGCTCGGTGTTTCTTTCGGAAAGCAAACAGCTAGAGCAGACTGTAAATGACAAAATCTACTCAGGAAAAATCATTAGTAAGGGCAGTCATTAAGAAACTGGCAGATAAAACGAGTGAAAAGATACATTGCTGTTCTTTCCAGTGCCTGTTTATTTTCTTCATGATTGTTTTCCCTTTGTCCAAATCAGTGGGCAATAAGAAAGGGTTTTCTTTGCATTTGCTTTATTTTCTGCCTGACACCAAAATTCATTGCTTTGTAACAGGATGACCAGGATAATTTTCTCAAACTTCTTTGTGATAAAGCCCTTCAGAAGGATATGCTCATTTGAACTGAGGGGAGAGGAGATTTCCATTTAATTCTCTGGATTATGAAAGGTAGGCCAGAGGGAAAGGCTAAGTCACACTGCCTTGCAAGTGTAAATTTAAAGGCAGAAGGAAATGGCTGAAATGAACACAGAACACCATAGTAAAGCTCCCTCCACCAGACACAGTGAGGAGAAAACCTGGGAAGCCCTTTCCCTTATCAGAACAGATGTTCTGTTGTACGCAAGGAAATCCTGCAACAAGACTACATTCCATTTGTGCAGAATCTACTCAGTGTTTGCAGTGTCCTGGGAATTTATTTAAAATATTTAAGTTGTGCATGGCTCACTCTGGGGGGAACTGGGCTCCCCAAAGGACTTATGCACAGTAATTCCTACATTTTTTTTGGGTTAGCTAATGAGGACTAATCCTGACTTCACTAGAGAGTGTAACTTTTGGTACCTTTGAAATACACCTCAGCTCTAATAGACAAACTTGCCTGAGTAGAGAAACAGGCCTGAATTGAAACCCAAGTGCAGGTGTCCTTCTCATTTCATGAACAAAAGTGATGTAACTTTTATTTTCACTGACTTTTGTTGATCTTATAATACTGTCAATGGAGAATATTATCAGGCTATATCACAACTCAGGCTGAAAACTGAAATTTGCTCAACACTGAGTAACACAACAGAAGGATCCCATATCTTGAAAGGATCCTGGTTCCATCTTTATTTTTCGCTTGAGGAGCAGAACATGTGAGTAATGTAACAGGTTGATATTAATTTACTTGCTCAAACCAGAATGGATTCTAAGGAGATGTGCCTTAAACCAATGCTGATTTTCTGACTCAAAAGTGAAAAGATCTGAAGCGCAGTCCTTGCAATTATAGCAATTTGTATATCTCTGATGACACTCCTGTTCATATCCCTATTGTCTGTCAGGCATACTGTGCTAAGACAGCAACAGGACTCTATCTGAGTTTTGTTTGTAGCTTATTTTGCACTACTGGGCTTTTTTTTGGTGCACTGTCTTCTATTTTCTCCTGAGCACATAATTAGCATTATGTTTAAAGACTCGCAATCTTACTGTCTCTTGAATTTTCAACTCTGGAAGTCTAAGGGCGGGAGAAGGACAGAGGAGACTTTACATGGAGACTTAAAAATTGCACAGCTCTAAATGCACGGTTCTTCTGATGACTTGCAGCCACTGTTGACTTCTGCTACTATTGTAAGGACTTGGCAACTCTGAGGAATGTCATTGTTGATGCACTTCTTCACGAGGGAATAACCTGAGATTTTTTTGGGGGGGAAGACGATAAGTAATATTAAACATATCCATTCCTTGTTAGCCACTCAGGTGTCTCTTTCTGTCTGACTCCATGCAGATGGGCAGTGAAGCAGCTGCAGATGGAAGAGCCCTAAGACCTGACATGCAGCCAAACTCAGCCTATGTTTATGAAACCAGGTGTCACTGTGTTCTCTCTTTTATTGAGTCTTCCCTTCAACCTCTCCTCATCTTAGTGCCTCAACAGAATCAATCACTTTCTAATTAACTAGTCAGATTCCAATGCAGTTTGCCAAAATTTTATTATCCTGCTCTCAGAGTTATAGCATGTAATTATTTATTCAAGTTACTACTGCTCCCACTTTGATGGAATTGGGTGAAGGAATCTCTTTCTGGGAGCCTAAGGGAGCTCTGTAATGAGAAACAGTTGCAGGAAGGTGAGTAACCCTTTTGCTTCGCAGGGTTTGCAATATGAGGAGAAAGGAAAAAAACACATGTGCTCCCTCCTTATGTTCCAGCATTTAGGGGAAAGAAATTAATGCAAAAAGCAGCTTCCACATGTATTTCTTGGCTTTATGGTTAGATTTTTTTTTTCCTAATTGGGAGTAAAACAATTATCCTTTTTGGGGTGTTACAGTAACATTCACAGGTGAGGGTCAGGCCCTTAATAAGCAGTGTAGAAACAAATATAAGACAATATTCTTTAGAAAAGTTGGACATTACAGTGCCAAGTGCAGTAATACAAGATATCATGACACTACCTCTGCTGACCATTGAAAGTTTTCATGCAACATGTGCACAGTTTGGGGTCTTGAGAATGGGATTTACGAAAGATAGCATCTTGAGTGGGTAACAAACTGAACACAGCATTAAGAAATGCAGATGTGAAGAAGACAGCCTCAGTTTTCCTACTTACAGCTAGTAAGGTGTCAGTGTCTTGACTGCAGCAGTATTTGCAGCAGTAAGCCTTCTCCTGGGCTGAGATACCTAAGGTAGCTCTATCCTTCTTAAAAAAAAGGTAGCAAGAAAGCTTTGTCATATCTGAAAGATGGAATGCTTTTCAGGAGGGCGTACGAGCTCTTATAACATCTTCATTTTGGTTTATTTGGTATGCGGACAGAGATTTGATTTATGTGCATCCCAGATGTTAACTACTGGACTAGGAAATGATGTGCACCTTCTTTTTTTCCTCATTGAGAAGATAATAATTTACGTGAGATTTCAGCAACAGAGACAGAGATACACCACAGACTGCCTAACAGTTTGCTGGAATTGAAGGCAGTGAGCAGCCCAAAGGTTTTGCACATGCTCCAAACCGCTTCGGTACAAGTGGTGTTCTGCTGTGACCCAAAACTGTATGTCACAGGACTGATAGAGTTACCAATATGTTCCTTTGTCTATGCCAGCCAGACACAAAGGAAGGCTTGAGCTTCTGTGCCACATGACTTTAGCTTGTGCCTGTGGTGCCTATAAGGTTGCCCATCAAACTCCTTTATCTTCACAGGCACAGGGAAAAGCCAATCATTGCCTGCTGGGGTCAAGCAAAGCAGGAGCGAACACAGGGGAAGAGACAGAGCCTGGGACACATTTGCAACTCCTGGAACAAACTCAACATAGTGATCAAGTTGTTACTTCCCTTGTTCTGCTCTGGTTGGGCTGTGTTTTGGCAACTATTAACAAGGCTCAGCCCTTTACCCCCGTGCCTGGGGGCAGTGCATGTGCATGGTGCAGTCCTTTCCACATTGCCCTAGGGGCCACAGACCTGGCTGTACTCCCCCATTCTCTAAGATATTGGGCCACACTGATATGGAAGGACTGCCTCTGCCTTCTCTAGCTGTGTCAGCAAAGCAGCATGCTGCAGAGTGCTCCTATGCTGCACTGCTACAGTGGGACCATTGCTTTACATTTATATCTGCAGGAAAAGGCCAGGGAAGAAAGATTTTGGTTTGCTAGTGAGTCTTGTAGACACTCTCTCAACTGCCTCTAGAAAATTATTCTGCCAGAGAGATTCCCAAATTGAAGCCACTTCCTCTTCCATATTCCTATGTGTGTTCACAACTTAAACTATCTCAGTGTTTTAAATAACACCATCAGGCAGATAATGAAGCATGCAACTATGTATGCTAGAAAGAAATGGAAGAGAGAAGAAAGCAAATTTGGAGTGTGGCTGCTATATTATATTTTACTTTAAGGCAGTAAGTGTTTCTTGTTAAAATTGTCAGGCATGATGAATCTAATTCTTATGCTATTTTATTGGGAAATTAGGAATTTAATGGGCAAAGGCTGCTTTCCAGACTATAAAATAACTTGAAGCCCCAAGTGAAAGGCAAGTCAGTTGAAGACTGAAGACTTCAAGAAGATCAGAAAAAGAAGAGGAAAATAATCAAACTCACCTTAAGCCTGTTGAATGCAGCCCTCAGGATCTGCGTTTCCCTCTCGCTCTCAGGAACAACTCGTATGACTTTATCACTGCCAATAACAGAACATTGAATTGATACTTTAAGGCTCTTTGCAGCAGCACAGTGTGATGGTAAATAGGTTCAGATTGCTACAATAATTGTGCTCTTTTTCAGCATCTGCAAAATGTCAGGTGAATTGGAACTCTGCTTCTAAACTTGGCACCTTGGATTATGCACTTCCATAGACATGATTTGCTCTTTATAGATCAGTGTCAGCTTGACCCTCCATTTCTATGCAAATGCTTTGTTCCTTCCTTCTAGGTTAAACCATTCAAGTTGACATTTTCCATATTGAGTATCTGCCTCAGATCAAAACTACTATTTTTTTTTTCAAAGCAATTAATCTGTTTCTGAGGAAGAGATTAGGTAAGATACATTGCTTTTTCACGTGTAAATCTTTAATGGGCTGTGAAAAGTCCAGTGTTCTTATGCCTTGAAGAGGGGACAATTTTAGAAAAGAGTTGATCTTCATATCGCAGCATGCCTTTCGCTTTATCCATTAAAACTTGCACAAATTTTGTGAAGTAAATAGCTGCTCATACATGCTCAGAAGGTTCCAGGTAATAGCAGCTGGTTTTGTTCACTTTCTTTAGCAAAAACTGATATAGGGTAGGTTTAGATAAGATATTAAGAGAAAATTCTTTACTGTGAGTAGCACTAGAACTGGTTGCCCAGAGAAGTTGAGGATGCCCTATCCCTGGAAGTGTTTGAGGCTAGGTTGGATGAGGCTCTGAGCAACCTATTCTAGTGGAAGGTGTTCCTGCCTGTGGCAGGGGTGCTGGAAATAGATGACTTTTAAGGCCACTTCCCACCCAAACCATTCAGTGGTTCTATGATCTTTGGCAAAGAGGAAACAGGAAAGTGAATGACCATTCAACGACCACCATCTATGCCATGAACTATGGGAGGCTGGAGACCACAGAAAATATAGCAGTTGATCCTGTAACTAAGACATCAGCCATACACAAGAAGGCTGACCTGGCCAACGCTAATTCTGGAACTTTCCCACATTTTGAGGTTTTTCATTTGTACTTTTGATGATCCTCTTTCAAGAGAACTCGGAGGTCATGCATATCTTTATTTCTACAGTTCTATCCCCTTGCCAGAATACCTTTTAAATAAATTATGTACAGCTTCTGCATTATCTGGGAATTTTACACAGTAGAGTTTCCCTTGACATTGAGACATTGGTCCCTTAAATATACTGTGAGCTCTCCTATTTCACTGAAGCTTCTGAGTCTGCTGAGAAGATATCTGGCCAACTAGAAAGACCACAGGTGAATGTTCTGCTGCTGGCCTCACTGTATTAGGGAGGGTCCCAAGCTGCTGCTGTTCTCAGCAAGCAGGTACCAGGTCTTGTCTCTGGTGTACTGCAGCTTCTGCACTATCTGGAAATCATTTCTCCTCACCCCCATTCTTCTTTAGTCTTTTCTCTACAGTCAACATCTGCTCCCCTTTGTTAGCTTCTGATCCTTCTTTCTGTCTCAGCATTCCAGTTTTGGTTCTCATCCCTTGTGAGTTTTCCCTGCAGACAAGTCCCAGGCCTCCCAACTCCCTCATGGCCTTAAAGTTTTTGGTCCAGTTAGACTCCAGGTCTATTGTTGTAATAACACTTACATACCCAGGGATGTGGACCTCAGTCCAATCTCCCTGACTGCTGTTGACCTTACTTGACAAATGGTTTATGCCTAAGAAAGATTTCTGAAAGCACTCTTATAATATAAGAAAAAATAAAATTTAGGGGAAATTACTGTGCTTCCAAGACAAGTTTAACCTCCTGTATAGGAACTTACATAGAAAGGAATAGGCCTCTTAGAATACTGCAACTGCTGTATCTTTCCAAGGAAAATAGATGCTTTTAATTTATCATACATGCAATAGTAATATTCTTTCCCATTACTCACTTCTTTCAGAGTATTAAATTCCTGTTAAGAAGGAAATGAGTAAAAAGAAATAATGATTGCCCAGGACATGTGAAGTCAAAGTAACTAATAAAGATTCATTGGACATTTCTGGAGGGGTTGGTACAATCAACATATAAAATCCAGATTTTAATGAAATAAGTAGCTAAGCATGTGTTATGCAGCTGTAATGGAATTTCAAAGGAATGGATATCACTTAGGTATGGTCTTGAATTAATACACATCACTCTAAACTGTCTTGGATTAGCTCGGTAATTCTGTCATTTCCAATGTGATGAAAAACCTGCCTGAAAAAAGAGGAAAATACTGGTGTTGTGACACGCTGATCACTTGACACATTGTTGGGAAATGCCTCAAGATGTGTCTGGGTCTGCTGCTAGAGAGCTCAGGCAAGCAGTTTAGCATACCTGGTAGTGTTAGTATTTTATTAAAAGATGGTTAAGCCATTACAAGGCACTTCCAATTTCTGTGCATGCAAGTTGCAGGAATAAACTGAATTCCTGAGAACTCTCTGCCAACACCCACTTCTGTAGGCTGGATCACCAGTGGATAAGCATTGCACATTCTTCAAAAAAGCAGATGTCAAATCCAATTTACTACTGATATCTACCAATCAAACAACATAGTCCTAGGGTTATCTTTTAGCTTTACAGCCTTCCTAGTTACATTTTACATTAAAGGAATAAAACAACTACCTTGAACTCTGTGCAATACCCATTGAAGTTAGGGTAGAAATGCAAGAACTATTTAGAAGCCAAGAACAAAATCTACCAGATCATGGACTAATGTGGTTGATACATGGCAGCTGTACCCCAAACAATAAGGACTACCCCCTGGTGAGGTCCCCTGTCATCCTTCATGTTGAGATGTTGAGGAAAAAGAAGAAATTGAGCACATATACAACTAGGGAAAGTTGTGTTGCCTGCAGACATATGTCAGCAATCTGCTGATTTATGTAGCTAAGGTTATTTTTCTAACCATAATGTCTCTAAATCTTTTTTTTTTTTTAAAGTCTGTTTTTTAAAATTTCTAAACAAACAGCAAGATGAGATATATTTTCTAGAAATTAATATAGAAATTTACATCCACCATGACAAACTTTCAATTCACCCCTATTAGCAACTAGGCTAATAGAATTTAAAGCTAGGATTTAGTGAGATCTTTAGAATTTTGTGTAAACACAGTTGAAGCCTTTGCCAAGAGCAAAACACAAGCTTTAGTAAATGAACTGGCAGACTGAGAGTAGTGAGCAAAGAGTAGAAGCCAGACGGCTGGTGTCCCCAGGGACAGCCTTATGTCTGAGTAAAATGGGTGACCAGCTGTTGACCAGCACTGACATGCAATGTCATTTTTTTCCCCTTCATTACCGTCTTATATTTTCAGGAACAGCATGAAAAATGACACAGCTGCTTTTGAAACATAGAATATGCTACATGGCTTTAGGAAGGGTGATACTCCCCGATGCCAGTGGGGACTAAAACTCATTGGTTTATTTCTTTGGCTTTTTCCTTTACTTCTTTTCCATTTACTTCACAGTTTTACTCATCTATGAACAGACCAGATGGATTCAATGAAATCATTCTGCAGCACATCTATAACTTCTTTACTGACGGAATTAGTAGCTCTCTCTCATGAAACTTCCCTGCTAAGTCACATGGCATGAACTGCATTTATGTAAATTCCTCATTTCCTTCAGGAAAATCCTTCTTATTGTTTTATTTTCCTGACTAATGGGAACCTTAATCAGATCTCTGCTCTCCCATGGAATTCAATAAAAATATGTTTACAAAGGCTTTACAAGTATTTTAAACACAGTTTAAGGAATGATATGCTATAAATCAAATACCTATAGAAAAACTAGTAAAGAAAATAAATCCCCACTTATAGGCATTCACTCCTAATGGTAGAGAAGGGATTATAGTTCTTGAGAACAAGATGCCTTAGTTGCTGCACTTAAGTGGTTCAGTAAGGCTGAACAACACATCTGAAAAGAGCTACAGTATGAGAGCCTCTTGTCAACTCCCAATATGCCATAAGATATCACTTGCAATGAAAGATCAATAGCTTCATTACTTTTTTCTCCAGTAATGAAGCTAGAGTAATTCTGCTAGTCAAAATATGAAAACATTATTGTTTTCCCCTCTCTTCGTTACTGGGATGAAGAGTTTTAACAGGCACTCAGTCCTGTTACAAAATCAAGTTACTTAAATATGGCTGGGCTCCTTCCAAAGACCTGATGGGGACATCTGGAAAGAGAACTTCACAGAATTTCCTGAGCCCTTCATTATGGTTTTCTGTATTACAGCAAATGCTGATCCAAACAGAAGAGAACACCATTTGTGTTGTCTAGATAGCAGTGCTTATATTTTCTGCCTTTTAGTTATTAAGGCTGGAAAACTGATGCCATTCCTAGTATAAGGAAGAGCTAGCTAATTTATGATTTTTAATGAAAAAGATATGCTTGGGTAATTTAGGCAGAAATGCTGAGGAGGCAAAATACGTTACTGCATTATATTTATCAGTACAGCACAGATGATTTCTTGGAAAGCTGAACTTTTATGCAAGTTGTCTGCTAATTCCCAGGCATGGAATATCTGATTTTCATAGATTTTTTTCAGGTGCAAAAAGAGTTTCCTTACCTGAGCAGGAAATCTTATGGACTTAAGCAATGCTGTATTACTAGCACTCTTCCTTTAAACAGCTTCTTCCCAGAAACAGATGATATGGAAAGGTGAATGTCTGCAAATATTCCAGTTTTCATTCCAACTAAGGAATGATGCTTTTCCAAGCAAAGTTGGCCTCCAACGTCTCCAAAGCATTGGATAAAGGGCCATCTAGCTTAAACACAGCAAGTGGGAATCACTTTCTTCAATACATGCTTCTGTCTTAGAAAAAAAATCCCAACTGTGTATGGTAACGTCATTGCTTCACCAAGTGTCATCCTTTGTGTGCAAATAAAAGAGAGTAAGGAGGCAGTGATTCAGGGCAAAAAAAAAGAAAAGAAAGAGCAAGACCAATACACACTTAAAACAAACAAACAGACCAAATTAGGAAAATGGATGACAAGGAGATACTGAGCTAACTCAGT